CTCATAATTGGCAGGCCGATTCCCCTCTCCCCCCCACTCCAAGCTGGGCCACCAAGCCGCAAAGATTGGGGACCGCTGGATTAAAACCCTTACCATAGCTAGCCGTGTGGATCCAGTCAGTTCTGACTCATTCATGGTTTAGCCTACCCAGTCAATACAGGTATTCCTCAATTTACGACCACAATTGAGCCCAGAATATATGTTTCTAAGTGAAACATTTGCCAAGTGAGATTTTGCCTCCTTTTACGACTTTGGGCAAGTGAATCAGGGCAGAAGTTCAATTAGTAATGCGGTTGTTGAGCGAATCTGCCTTCCTCATTGGCTTTGCTTGTCAGAGGGTTGCGAAAGGGGATCATGTGATTCTGCGTGACACTGACCATCATAAATACGAACTGGTCATCAAGCATCCAAATGTAAATCACGTGGCCAGGGGGATGTTGCACAGGTCATAAATGTGAAAAACGGTCATAAGTCACTTTTTTGAATGTCCTTGTACCTTCGAACAATCGCTAAATGAATCATATAGTATGTCGAAGACTACCTGTATCTCTCCTCGAACAGACCCAACAGGTCTATTTGTGCCTCAATCTGTGAATGTAAAGGGCTTAATTACAAAAAGCATTCTCAAAAAGTTTTTTCAGATCTGCATAGTCAGCCTGCTCTCTTTCCCCGCCTGCCCCCGACAGCCAAGAACTCATTTGGAAAGCAGCAGAGAAGGGTAGATTTTGAATGAATGCATTTTGTAGGAAGGCGCATTCCTAACGGATGACATCCCTGTGCAAAAATGAGTGAGCCCATTGCATTTTTGTGACACACTCGGTCTTGGCTTCTACTCTCTGAGGGAAATGAAGCCTGTTGGAGGGCTGTCAATCTTTGTGTGACATGAAACTTTCTTGGTGGTGTGGGCCTCCCCACCAGGATGTTTTTACAATATACAGATAGTCCCAGTTTGTTTAGTAATTGTTTAAAGTTGCAGAGGCACTTTAAAAGTGCTTTTAAAAGTGACTGGTGACTGTTTTTCACACTTAATGACCGTTGCTACATCCCCATAGTTACGTGATCAAAATTCGGACGCTTGGCAGCTGGTTCATATTTATGATGGTTGCAGTGTCCCCAGGGTCTTGTGATCCCCTTTTGTGAGCTTCTGACAAGCAAAAGTCAACAGGGGAAGCCAGGTTCACCCCACAATCGTGTGTCTAACTCAAGGGTGCGAAACCCGATTTCATTGAGGGCTGCATCAGGATTGTGTTGGACCTCGAGTGGGGCATGGCCAGCTCGATGTCACTCATGTTGGGGGTACTTGTGGTGGCTGCTAAGGCAGGACTTCTGTCAGGTCTTCCCTCACTCTCATTATAATTCTTCTCCTCTTTCCTTATTTTTCCTTCCTTGCTCTCTTCCCATCTTTTTCTTTCCCTTTCTCCTTTATTGTCCCTTCTTCCATGCTCAAATGCAAAATGGGAAACATTTCTCCTTTTGTTTTGTTTTTAGTTTGTTTTGATAGCCCTCTGACAGCTAAAACGGAGGTCAGGAGGGCCACGTGTGGCCTTCTGGGGCCTCATTTTTGGCCTGTACTGCCTCCTGCAGCCCTTTGACAGTGAAAACTGAGCTTGCGCAGCCATCCTGTGCTCCATTTTTGCTGGCAGAGGCACCACGTGCTTATCCATTGCTGTTTCCAAGGTGACCCTGCAGGCCAGATGTAAACACCCCATGGACCACATCTGGCAGGGTGACCCTGCGGGCCAGATGTAAACACCCCATGGACCACATCTGGCAGGGTGACCCTGCGGGCCAGATGTAAACACCCCATTGGGCTCAATTGTGGTCACAAGTCAAGGGCTGCCTGTATTTCTAGCTTACTCCCTTAGCTTTAAATTGTTGATTTCTGGCTGTTGTGCCTTGTATGATATCACTTCCTCCCATCCACTCAGGCTCCCCCTCCCTTAAAAAAGTCTCTTTCTCTCCTTTTTTGCTATGGCCTTAATGTGGATTAGAAATAGCTACCCAAAAGGATTTACAGAGGGGCCTCTCTTTTAAAGCCTATTCCGTGATTAGAAATGCCTCCATGAACTGAGCGTGTGCTTGTGTGTACTTGTGTGTGTGTTTTATTAGTCGTACAACCCCCCCACTTCACCCACAACCCCGCCACTCAGCTTGGGGCTGATGGGAAGGTGAGAGGCAAATGTGATTAATTCCTGGTAGCCATAAGAGGCTTTCTCTCAAATCCTCACCGTAGTTCGGGTCCTAGGAAGCTTAGCGATGCTTTGCTTTAATAAGAGCTGGAAAAGAGAAAAGATAGCATTATGGACAAGGAAGGGGTTTGAGGTCTGATTAGACAGGAGCCCCACCTTATACTAACAGTGTAAATATATTACTAGCGTTCTCCTACTGGGCACCCTCTGAGTATAAAGCTGATGTAGATTTTTGTCTATGCCATTGGGGAATACTGAGAGTAGAAGGACTGTCATTTGTCAGAAATAGTGTAGGGTCTCCCGCTTGGGCGGTGGGTTGGACTAGATGACCTACAAGGTCCTTTCCAACTCTGATTATCTGTATCTGTAAAGGTCCAGTACATCTCCACGTTAATATTTCCAGGAAATCAGTAATGCCTGCCTCCTTCTGCAGCTGGAGCATCAAAAAGACTACAGGTAGTCATTGACTTAACAACCATTTGTTTAGAACAGTGATGGCTAACCTTTCTGTCCTCATGTGCCAAAAGTACAGTGCGCATGCATGCCAGCATCCCTAAGGCAGTGCACACGGGGCCCCCATGCCCCCTACACATGTGCGCACACCCCTCCGTGCACCGCGTCTCTCTGCACATGTGTGTGCAACCCCCCCCACAACACACTACTGGGCATGTACATGCGACCCCTCCCCATGCACACCACACGACTGCACATTGTGTGCAACCCCCCATGCACGACGCACATTCCTGCACATGCACATCTGCATATGCTCTGCCCCCACACGTGCAGCTGCTACCCAACGATCAGCTGGCAGACAGGCGGTGCACATGCCTGTGCAGTGGACCTGCTCTGGGGCGACGGCTCACATGCTGGCAGCGATGACTCTGCGTGCCATTTCCTGCATGTGTGCTATAGGTTTGCCATCACAGGTTTAGAACAGTAAACAATAAATAAACAATAAACCAGCGGAACGGTTTACTTCCAGAATTTTGCGGGTGCTCCCAACACTGGAGGTTTTTAAAAAAGAGATTGAACAACCATTTTTAGGGTCTCCTGCTTGAGCAGGGGTTGGACAAAAAGACTTCCAAGGTCCCTTCCATCTCTGAGAGCTCTGAGGGGAAGAAGGAATGGAACTGTCAGAGAGAGAGAGGCGGAGCCTGGACCGTCAGTCAGCCCCCAGATGGAGAGTCAACAGCCACCAGATCTGGAGGTGGCTGATGAGGAAGAGGAGGAACAGCTGGGTCCTGTGCCTGAAGTGAGGATGCGCAGAAAGCAGAGGAGAGGATAGCAGTGGAGATCTGTGGGCTGATCCTTGGGAAGGGAGAGCCAGTGTTGCTAGCGAAGCAACTACCCTAGCTCTGGGGATAAAATGAAGGGGACGGAGCTGAATAGATATGGCAGACAACTATTCATCTCCCGGCTGGCCAGACTTATTAGCCTGCAATGAGAGAGAAACTTTTTGCCTGGGCTGCCGGTGCTCCTAATAAAGGAATCTTTTGAATTCGCATCAGAGGATTTGTTGTATTTGGGGAGCTGGGTCAGAACACTGTTATTCTGTAGCTAGAAGTTGCAACAGCACTGAAAAATAGTGATTTATGACAGATCTTCACATTTACGACCTTTGCAACATATCCCCATGGTCACGTGATCAAAATTCAGGTGCTTGACCACTGGCATGTACTTATGACAGTTGCAGTGTCCCATGGTCATGTGATCACCATTGGTAACCTTGCCAGCTGGTTTCCCGCATGCAAAATCAATGGGGACAGCCAGATTCGTTTAACGACTGCACGATTCACTTAACTGCAACAATTTTATTTACAGTTGTGGCAGAAATGGTCGCAAGATGAGGTGTAACTCACTTAACCGCTGCCTTGCTTAGCAACAGAAATTTTGGAGTTCAGTTGCAGTTGTAAGTTGAGGATTACCTATCTAGCCACTTTTACCTCCTGGAGTCTCTTAACTGTAGATCTCAGTTTTGGCGCTCAATTTTGGATGCCAGAATCCAGTTTACCACTTTAGTGAAGAACAATTCTAGTTGCATCCAAAAAGATGTAAAAGTGAGATTTCATTTTAAAGAGGCCCTTAGTTCCCTTACTTTTTTTTAGACTGTTCTGGCTTCATGGCATTATTTAATGGTTCTATTTCTTATTTTTATTTATTTATATTCTGCCTTTTTTATAAACAACTCATACTCCCTCCTCCTGTTTTCCTCACAGCCACCACCCTGTGAGGTGAGTTGGGTTGAGAGAAAATTATTGGCCCAAAGACAACCCAGCCAGCTTTCATCTCCAAGGCAGGACTAGAATTCAGTCTCCTAGTCATTGGCTCAAGGTCGCCAAGCCCATTTCCATGCCTAAGGCTGGGGTAGAACTCATAGTCTGGTGATTGGCCCAAGTTACTCAACTTACTTTCATTGCCTTGGGTGGGACTAGAACTCACAGTCTCCCAGTTTCTAGCCTGGTGCCTTAACAGTTGACCAAACTATCTCTATCTCAAGAGAGACTGCTTATTTTTTAGATTGCATTGTAGATTTGTTTTCTTCTGATCATGAGGACTAGAAGCCCAACTGCCTAATAGTTTCCTTCAGGTTCCTGACTGAATTCTGGAGGTGCAGGAAGGGAGATATCCTAGAGCAAAGATAAGTTTTTGCGGAAGGATAGATAACACACTCCCATAATCTTTAAATACATCTTCCATTGCTATTCTGGTTACCTGTGGTATAGCTTACTTTGGGGCTGGGGGGAGGGGGCTCTTGCACCAGATGGGGGCATGTTTCATCCTAAAAATGATGGTATTCAATTATCCCAGCAGGACCAAAGCTGCTGTCACGCTGAAGCGCCACAGGTAGCCTTGTTTCGGACGGACCTTTCCGGCATTTGACCCTTTTGCAGGTAAGCCAAGGGCGCTGTATTTTGCTATGGAGGTAGTAAGAGTGGGCAGCTGGCAGAGCATTGATGATTGTTCTAGGATGTAAAAGCTGATGTAAAATCAGCGAATGTGATCGCTGCACTTGATTGCTCATTGTAAAAACAAAGCATTGGGCAAGGCAGAACATGTTTGAAATTGGGATGGATCCATGCTGATCATTTAGCGGAGCTGAGCTGGTATCTTGTGTGTAAATACCAGCCATGTTCAGGGTTGAATAATGCCTCTTCCAAAGGAGTTTGGCCAACTTTCCTTTCCTTTCCTTTCCTTTCCTTTCCTTTCCTTTCCTTTCCT